TATATACATTTCACGCAGAGCTTTACATACCCGTCCTTAAAGCAAAAGACATGAACAGTACTGATCATAGGTGTAGAGATCTGATTGTTTGACCTCAATTTTGTTTCCACTTTCCATTGACAGAGAATTAAAGGAATAATCCGCTATTTGCGATTATCTGCTAAAGAGAGCTGAACACGAACAATCACTCAATTCCACCCAGCTAAAAAGTCCCCCCTGCTGGCTATTGTACTGCTAATTCACTGATGTTGCCCGTACCCTACATAACAAGTAATTCAACTGGTGATCTGTGCCAGTGTTTAAAGGAGAACTATGAGGTGAGTGAAAGGTGAGGTGAGTGAAAATCACAGTTCGGGAAGTGAGCGAACACATACCGCCGCTCGCTCACTTCTCGATCTATCACTGCAGAGAGCCTGGGCTGACTGGAGGAACGGATGGGGGAGGGGGTGGGTACAGCTGGCTCTGCCTTTTACTGAAACCAGATCACAACAAGATGGATTCAGATTGGCTACCACGAGTACTGGCCTTGCACCTTTGTCCTCGGGGGGACCACTCTGGCCCTCCAGCTGTGCTTCAACTACAAATCTAGGGATGGGATGCACCCATCACGTTTTTTCAGTATTGAGTACGAGTACCGATACTTTGCTTTCGGTACTCGTTGATACTGAGTACCGATACTGGCGCTTCCGGCTGGCTCCATGTTGTTTGGCCGGCTTGGTTGTGCTTGGCTGCTAAACCGGCTTCCCAGCCAATCAGCATTGAGCCGGCTTCCCTTGCTTCCTGATCGCACAGGAAGCTGGCTCTATGTTCCCCTACAGCACTGCCGGTCAGAGGAACTCTTCCGCTGACCGGAATGCCGGTATCGGGGAAGGTATCAGAGCATTTGGGCGAGTACGAATACTCGCCCCAAATACTCGGTATCAGCACAGATATAGGTGTCGGTGCATCCCGATACAAATCCCAACATGCCTCTGGGAGTCATACCTATAACTGTCAGTCTTGCAATGCCTCATGGGACTTGTAGTTCCACAACAGTTGGAGGGCTGCCCACCTCCCTTTTATCAAACATTCCCTTTAAATGTACATTTACCGATATCTCTGACCAGAGTGCCGCCCACGACAGGCAAACACAACAAGCCATGCGGTTCCGATATATAAGAAGTAATGAAAGGTGGAGGAGATTTATCTGAGGACTGATCTCCTCATGACTGAGCCCCTCAGGCACCCTTCCTGCTACATCCTAAAGAGGAGGAGGAGGAGGACATGAGGAGGAAATCTATATGCACTGCCCGGGGGCCTGCAAATCACAAACAGGACTCCAACAGTTTCAAGCAGCTTCCTGTTTACTAACTTCAGCGCTCACTATACGCTCAGCGTTTGCTGTACAGGGCCCACGGATTTGGGGTGTTCCTAATAACATAAAACAAGAAAATATAGTAATAAACAAAAACACCTCTAAAGGATCGCTGTGCTTCTAATTGTCGTCGCCCCCCTCCCGACAGATATATAACAGACACAAGTACCTGAATGTGACCTGGTATTATCCCCCATACAGCAGAGCTCAGCACAAGGAGCCAATCAGTTGTGTTTCAGTAAGAGAAGCATGCTGATAGGAGGAGAGAGCAGAGTGACAGAGAGATGAGCTCATCAGCCTGCCACTTCCACTCTCACTGTCCAGTCACAGTCTCGGGGAGGGGACCTATAAGTGCCAAACAGGATACCTGAATTTGACCTGGCATTATGCGCTTGCAATCACCCCTTACGGCGGGATAAGGTATGCCGCCGGGTCCCCTTCTCTCTCCTGACACTGTTGGGCTCTCGGTCCATGACTGCCAGTCATTTTGGTGTCACCCCTCCAATGGTGTCACCCGGGTGGGGGCTGCACCCCCCTTGTGACGCCACTGCTGGTGGTGCACGTTTCAGCAGGGGAGTCATGTTTCTGGTTGTGGCCGGCATGCCGCCCAGCTCACTGACCTCATTGGTTGCCAGGAGCTGAGCGACACACAGGACAGAGCGTCCCGCTCAGCTCCTGGCAACCAGTGACATCACTGGTTGCCAGGAGATGGGCGGGACGCCAGCCACAGTGTCCCGGGTTGGTAAGAGCTTGGCAGGGAGCTGTGTATGGCCCTTAGCGGACTTTGCTCTCTTCAAGAGTTTTGGCAACTGAAGGGTCTTCAACACCCAACACTTCTGGGCATGTCGGATGCCTGGTCCCTCTCAATGTGCATCGCGGCTCCTCCATCACTACTGTATCCTATTGTAGGGGCTGGGGAGTAGAACCACAAGGCATTGGCTTCTGTCGAAATTGGCCCTCATATGTATGTAGAACAGTAGTAGAAAAGCCTGCCCGCTGCCAGAAGCTACAGTGTGAGGCCCTTGTTCCCTGTGTGGAAGCAGTGGTCTCTCTGCAGAGATCTGACTCGTCCCCCTGCCAAGCCAGGCCTATAGTTCCGTAATCAGTAAAGCTCATGCCCCCTGCTGATTGGACAACTCTGACTCTCATCCAGTAGGGAATGTCTGACCTGTGCAGAGGGACTACTGCTACCCTACAGAGAGCGAGAGTCAGAGTCAGGTTTTCCTACTCAGGTTGTGGCTGAAATTGAAAGGCCTGTTAGGTTGTTCAGGCAGATCTATGATCCCAATGTTAGTCTATGGGTAGGCAGATGTACACGGATGACATTGGGAACTGGGTATTAATAGGTATTAGGGGAATTATTAGGCATCCTTCTATCTTATAGAGTACAGCATCATCATCAGGATCTGGGTATTAATAAGTATTAGGAAAATGAATGTCATCCTTTTATCCTATAGTGCACATCATCATCATCATCAGGATCTAGGTATTAATAGGTATTAGGAAAATGAATGGTCATCCTTCTACCCTATAGTGCACATCATCATTATCAGTATTTGGGTATTAATAGGTATTAGGGGAATTAATAGGCATCCTTCTATCCTATAGTGCACATCATCATCAGTATTTGGGTATTAATAGGTATTAGGGGAATTAATGGGCATCCTTCTATCCTAGTATAGAGCACATCATCATCATTAGAATCTGGGTATTAGGGGAATTAATAGGCATCCTTCTATCCTCCAGGATTTGGGGAAGGGCGGCACTCAGATCTTATAAAACAGACAATGTTTGCTGAAGTTTGCTTTAGGTTGGGATTACTATGTGCAGCAGGATACTGAGTTCCTACTACTTTATGGGATGGGGGTAGGGTCCTAGACCCTGATCCTATAGACATGCTGCTGATTATCCAGAGGGGTGAGTGCTAAACCTCCCCCCCTCTCCAGACTCAGGGCTGCCGCCTGATTGGCTAAGGGGGATTTTTTGGGGAAGGGTTTTGGGACCTGGCTTATGGGGGGAGCAGAGAGAGAGAGAGAGAGACGGGGCTGTTTCAAGGCGGCCCCTGAGCGTTGGCTGCGGGGAAGGATCCGGTCCTGGGACAGAGGGCGCCTTGAAACGGCTTGTTGAGAAGTGAGCAGGAGAAGCGGAGCACAAAGGGAAAGTGATCCGAATCAGAACCGAAGGGAGCAGAGCCTGGACTGCCTCCGCCGGAGCGACCTGAACGTCAGCAAGCCAGAACTGGTGTAAAAGTTGGCGACGTGGTCCTGGTAAAGCCGATCCGGCAAGGGGAGGTGACACAGGACACATCGTCTCTGCAGAGGTACAGGGGGACACACAAGGCTGAACTTTCACTCGACTTTGCAGAACTTTAATCCGGAGTCCCAGAGTGGACTAAAAGTTAGGAATCGCATGTGACTTTCCATAGCAGAACATCGGATCCTACTGGTGTCCATTGATTTGTGCCTAGGGGATTGCTATTTGCTGTGCTTCAGCCATGCAGGGTGTTCCAAGAGCCACCCTTTGCCAAGTCCTGTTGCTCCTGCCAGCCCTGTGCCTACTTGCCTCTGCACAGCTCCATGGAGAGAAGGGGATTTCGGTTCCTGAGCATGGATTCTGCCAGCCCATCTCCATCCCGCTCTGTACGGACATCGCCTACAACCAGACAATCATGCCCAATCTTTTGGGTCACACCAACCAAGAGGATGCCGGCTTGGAGGTCCATCAGTTTTACCCCTTGGTGAAGGTCCAGTGTTCCTCTGAGCTTCGCTTCTTTCTGTGCTCCATGTACGCCCCGGTTTGCACGGTTCTGGAGCAGGCCATCCCTCCCTGCCGATCAATCTGCGAACGTGCAAGACACGGCTGCGAAGCCCTCATGAACAAATTTGGCTTCCAATGGCCAGAAAGGCTACGATGTGAAAACTTTCCCCGCCATGGCGCTGAGCAAATCTGTGTTGGGCAGAACCACTCAGAAGATGGCGGGCCAACCTTGCTAACAACTAGCCCACCTCTGCATGGCACCCTAGGGCCAGCCATCTATGCCACACCTGATCATCCTTTTCACTGCCCACGGGTGCTGAAGGTTCCATCCTACCTGAACTACAGGTTCTTGGGAGAAAAGGACTGTGCCGCTCCATGCGAACCTACAAGAAATGATGGGTTCATGTTCTTCAGTCAAGATGAGATCCGTTTTGCCCGTGTCTGGATTCTCATCTGGTCTGTACTGTGCTGTGCTTCAACTTTCTTTACGGTGACCACCTACTTAGTAGACATGCAAAGGTTCCGCTATCCTGAAAGGCCCATCATATTCCTGTCTGGATGCTATACTATGGTGTCTGTGGCCTACATTGCCGGTTTTGTGCTGGGGGATAAAGTGGTTTGCAATGAAGGCTTCTCGGAGGATGGCTATAAAACTGTTGTACAAGGAACCAAGAAAGAAGGGTGCACCATCCTCTTCATGATGCTTTACTTCTTCAGCATGGCTAGCTCCATCTGGTGGGTCATCTTGTCTTTAACCTGGTTCCTGGCAGCTGGCATGAAGTGGGGGCATGAAGCAATCGAAGCTAACTCTCAGTACTTTCACCTGGCAGCCTGGGCAGTGCCTGCTGTGAAGACCATTACCATTCTGGCCATGGGGCAGATCGATGGAGACCTACTCAGTGGAGTATGCTTTGTAGGACTTAATAGCATTGATCCATTGAGGGGCTTTGTGCTGGCGCCTCTCTTTGTCTACCTCTTCATCGGAACCTCATTTCTTCTTGCTGGGTTTGTGTCCCTCTTTCGCATCCGGACCATCATGAAGCACGATGGCACCAAAACGGAGAAGCTGGAGCGGCTGATGGTACGAATCGGAGTCTTCAGTGTCCTGTACACTGTGCCTGCCACAATCGTCATTGCCTGTTACTTCTACGAACAGGCCTTCAGAGAACACTGGGAACGTAGCTGGGTGAGTCAAAACTGCAAAAGCCTAGCTATCCCTTGCCCACTACAGTACACCCCACGCATGACCCCAGACTTTACTGTCTACATGATCAAGTATCTCATGACCCTTATAGTCGGCATCACTTCTGGATTCTGGATCTGGTCAGGCAAAACTCTTCACTCCTGGAGGAAATTTTACACCAGGCTGACCAACAGCAAACACGGAGAGACAACCGTTTGAGAACTCATGGTGGCACCCATAACCACCTAGACTGTACCTTCTCGAGACTTTCCACTTTCCTGTCACTTGTTGATATCTGTGTAAATCGAAGTACGATACCTTCAGGCACATCTCTCTGGAGTTGTAATTAAGACTGTACATAGGATTTTTGTAAATTATATATTTCTATTTAAATATGAGGGTTAAGGAACTGGAGGAACGGAAAATGTACATGGGCAAAAATAAAAAAAGACCCCTTTCTACTTCAGTTGTTTGCTGACTATATCTGATGGATAATTGGAGTTCTTTAGAATACAGTCCGTCTTTGGCTCTTTCTGGAAACCATATTTACAGTATTTTTTATTCCTAATTTTTATTTGTCCTCCCGATGAACAGTGGAATTTGGAATTTGTACAAGCGTCCCTTATATAATATTAGCCAACACAAACTTTGCAGAATCCGTGAGGGTAATTTGGAATCTTGGCATCTTATGACAGGTGGTTCCGCTGCTGCTATGGTGTCTGTCAGAATGGTACAATTGGATTTTATTTTTTGGGGTTGGGGGGGGGTTGGGTTTTATTTTGTGCTTGATTTTATAAGTTCCCTTTTTTTTATTTGTAATGCATGATTTGAAAAGGACAGATGCATATAATCACTTCTAGATGACAGGAGGAGTTGGCTGGACACCAGAAATGACATTCTTGTACAAGGGAACGTGGTACAGATTTGACACTTGTCAAAAAAACAACAACTTTTCATGTGTGGGATGAGAGAGGGAAGGGACACGTAACCCCTTATGCGCTGAAGATAACCCGAAAGACGTTAAAAAACCAATCAGGGGCCTTCAGTACACTGTCTAGCCCTTGATCCGAATTATGTATTGATCTGTTTTTAAATATATGTTGATTTTTTTTTTCTTAATTTTGAAATTAAAAAAATTAAAAAAAATATTTTTGTTACGAACAACCAAGAAAGTCTTCGGCGCTTTCTACTTTGTTTGTTCCGCTGCAAGTTTTCGGGGAAGGAGGTTGTGTTTTTAAAGTTCATTTAAGAGTTCACAAAGAACTGGTTATGAGATCTCGAGGTAACCACTAACATGATCTGACAGCTCTATGATGGGGTCAGGCTAATGTGATGGGGGTCAGTCAGAGCTGGGGAGGAACAAAAGTATCTGTGTCACCCATAGCAACAAACCATCTCGGCTTTTACATATCTAGTACAGGTTAAAAAGAATATTTGATTATTTCTAGTTTAGCAATAAATGAGTCGCGTGTAAAGCTTTGTGAACCTAATGACCAGGTTTTTCTTTTTCACTGACCGCTATGAATCCCATCATGGAACACTTTCCAAATAAGTCACATAACACATGGTGCCGCTATTTTCCACCTCTGCTCGAATATCCGTTACGCCAGCAACACCAATTCTCTCTTTGCCTGTCTTTCTCTTTGCCCTTCTCTCTATGGAGGTAGCCACCAGAATTTTTTTACATATGCACTTTACAGTAGTATCCAATCCGATTTCATCTGGTAGTGTAGGCACTGAAAGCTGGTTTCTGATTGGTCGGACTGGGTTGGAGTAATTACTGACATTTTAATTGATTTAATAAAGCAAAAAGTAATGTACTATAAAACCAATAGTAACCTATTAGAACATTTGTCATCTATCTATCTATTAATTGTATATCTATCTATCATATTGATCTATGAATTATATCTGTCTATCTATCTACCTATCAATTATCAATCTATCTACCTTTCAATTATCTATCTATCAAATAATGATATATATATATCGCTATCTGTCTATCATCTATCTGTATATATGTATACTACATATATAGAGAGAGAGAGAGAGAAAGAAAGAGCTATATATACACAAATGCAAATACACTACAGTAGATGTCTTGATGATTTGCAAAACGTAATCAGTTGCTTACAGTTTACAGCAATATACTTATTTTTCATTCATTTTTATTTTGGTTGTTGGGGTTTTAGGGTATGGGAATAGCAAAGTGAATCTTTACATAGCTTAATATTGAAGCGAAGCTGTGTTCATGCTAAATACCCAATCATGTAAAGGAAATTTAAAATGAAAACGGGGTTTTGGTTGCACGTGATTGGATGATGTAAGTGAACGCAGCTTTACCTTATTTACTAAGTTCTCAGTAAATAATAAATACTAAGTAAAAAAATAATAATAATGCTCAGTATGTATTTACTAAGCTAAGGAATATTTACTTTGCTAAGGGAATCGTCTAGAGCTGCAACAACTAATCGACTAAATCGATAATAATCGATTATGAGAATAGTTGGCAACTATTTTCATCATCAATTAGTAGGTTAGGGGAGAGAGAATTTTTTTATACAACCAATCGATTAGTTGAAAAAATAATCGGGTAACTAATCGATTATGAAAATAATCATTAGCTGCAGCCCTAGAACCATCTGTATTCCTGATATGTCCTAATCTATCTACATAAAAAGCCAGCAGCAGCTGTATTACTTACAATACATGCATTGATTTTTCAAGCAATCACCTGTCCAATGAAAGCACCTTAATCAGATACCTGAAGTGTTTGTTCAATGCAACTAAAATATATTTTGCATTGATTTGTTCAAAGTTGGATAGATAAAGTAAAAGAAAATGTAAGTTGTTGTTTTAAGGGCCCATTCACACCATGTCCGGACCAAATCCAGAGCAGAAAGTTTTTTTGTCTGGTCCAAAAACGCATCCCTATTTATTTCTATGATAAAAAGTGAGGCCGGTTCACACCATTGCATTCAGTTCCAGGACGTTTAAAAAAAATACTGCATGCACTATTTTTTCTGGTCGGGAATGCATGCACATGCACTAGAAAGTCAATTGGGAATTTACAAAAAAGCACCGGAACACATGTTGACCGTGTTTGCAGAAACGCATCCACATCTGGTCTGGAGATGGTGTTAACAAGCACTTAGAATTGACTGATTGCTCCATGCAACGCGCTTTTGTCTTTTTTCTCAACTTATCCAAAAGTTGTCATCTTCCATCCAACAAAATCTGTTAAAAGAAATCAAAATGGTGGTAAAAATGATAGATAGTTGCTGGATACAACCACATTCATCACACAATCAAATTAGTACATGCGGGGCCAATATAAGGTATACTCAACAACAGTCTGTTTTTGCTAGATGCGGAGAAGTTAATTTATTGGAATAGACTGGGATCGAATAGACTTTGGCCCTCCATCTGTGGTGAAGCTACAAATCCCATCATCTTGTAATGTCCTATGGGACTTGTAGTTCCACAACAGCTGAAGTGCCAAGATTGCCTACAACTGGAATAGACTTTTTCACATCTCAGAGTAGCTAGAGCCATAACATAGTCACCACTTGATATGGTTGGTTACCAGGAGACACTGTCAGCCCGGCATTCTCAGAGAAATAGTAGAAGGATGACCTTGGATTTTGCCAGGTGATCACCACTACTGTATAGGAACGATGTTTGGAATGTCCGCACCCCCGATGCCCGCCTGCTCAGGAAACATGGCAGTGATCATTCATGTGATAATTGTTAAAAAAATTATCACTAGAAGGTCAAATTGTGCCTGCAAATCCTATGTTATGTCCGTGGCCATGCATTGAAAAAAGGTCCACAGTCAGAAAATGGAACACAAGTTCTGCTTTGTCTGCAGTTGCAAGGAAGCCGATCACGTGACACCTTCCCTAGGTGTTTGATTGGGTAATGTCTGAATCAGAGTTTGCTCCACCATTTCAGAAGAAACCAGCATAGTCAAATGCCTAAGCACTTGGTCACATGACCACAACAATGGTTTCTACAGCCAAGCTGGTTACTTTAGGACTTTTGTTGACTTTTCAGACTCTGGGGAAGTGTAGTGGAGAGCTAGGTCTGGTTTAAGGCCTTATAAACTATTACTTGACGTCCGCTCCATTTTTAGTAGTAAAGCTTAATTCAAAATACAACAACTCTAGTGCCTGAGCAAGCAAATTATCATGGCATATTATTAGATGTCCCCACCAAGAGCTACAAACCTTTGCTTTTCTTGTGAAGGGCAAAACAAAAGATTCAATTTGTTGCCCCCGTCCCTAGCAGCACATACTTTATCTTGCTCCCCTGCAAGGTGTCACAAGGCGTGAGTCACATGCTCCTTGCTCTGTTTAGTCTGTTTAGCCATTACAAATGGATAAAAAGCCACACTCTGAAATTTTCTTTCAAAATCCTTTTGTAGTGGGTCCCCTGCCCTGCAAGGTTTAAATGCTCATTAAGTCTAAGGGTAGATGAATAAGCTGTAATACTTACCTTTATTCCTTGTTCTAGCAGGCCACTGTATGACTGGAGCCCCTTCTCTAAGGTGCTCTAGCCAGGGGTAACATGGTGACATCATCACATACAATGCAGGGCCAGCAGTCCTGCATTGCATGTGAGGGCCTGCCTGTATTCTGGAGCATCGGAGAGAAGAGAACGCCGGAGCCTGCCGGAGTCCAGAATAAGGTAAGTGTTACAGCTTGTTGCTCTACCCCTAGAACTACCAGAGTTCAAAAATACCAGAGTTCAGCTTTAAATACCCATTACGGTATGGAGGGTACGGAGGAGCATGTGACTCACGCCTTGTGACGGCACTGCAGTGCTAAATGAGAAGAGTACTAAACCCTGTGTAAGCTCCGAATCTAGTGTCTCAAAGCTTTTCACAAAGTTGTCTTTCTTCACTCCTAGCAGTGGTGGAGAAGGGGAAGAAATGGCAATGTGGGTATGTACTACTAGCGAGGGGGCAATACCAAAGCACAGGTTCACTTTAAATAAAGTCAAGCAAGTCGGCCATATTGGTTGTGCTGAATATTAATGGTAAAGTACTGTGGCAACACTATAGCTGTGTGGTGCTCCCCAGGGACTCTAGTCCAAGAAGGGTAAGTTTAATAATGCATAACTAGATGCTAGGGAGGGAGCGAAGTTCCCTTGTGTGCTGGAGTGAACCCCAATAGTAGGAAATAATTCCAGAAGGAGAGTCCAGGCTGAGGTACAAGTTAGGATGATCCAAAATGCGTTGTCAGAGTGCAGTCCGGGTTGAGGCAGGCAGCGAGTATCATAAATGGGGAGACAAGCCAGGGGTCAATACCCAGGAGATCCAAAAACGCCCCCATTGTCTGGGCAACGAGGAAGCTACTGGTCTCTGGGAACCAATGTGATGGCTAGGGGAGAAGGTGTGCTCGCAAGGCCCTCCCTGGCAATGATCAGCACCTGAGGTGACTAATAGGCCACGGCAACGGTACAAGCACATGCACACACCTGCAACCAGCCGCTGCCGGGCACCAAATCACCCCAAGAAGGACCCTACAATCTCTGCCTTGCCCGCTGGACCCCAGGTAAGAGGGCACCCCTGGTCCCACGACACTAGATAATAGTAAAGTACTGTGGTGACACTAGGGCTGTGTGGCACTCCTGAGGGACCCAAGCACAAGAAGGGTAAGTTTATCAATGCATAACTAAAATAATAATAGATACATCATATACACTGGGGCACCTCATTTCATCACGTGCTTAAAGCTAGACTGTTGGCTTGTTAAACTTTAAAAACCTAAAGTTCTAAGTTCTAGCGCCTTGTTTTGCTTCTCACGTATCTTCTGGATGCCTTCCTACGCCTTGGCATGCTGTGTCACTCACCGAGAGCCTTCACTTTTCCAACCTAGTAACTAAGTTATCCACCCAAAACCAGGCTCCACTGTGCCTATATCTAGAAATGGAGCCCTATTGTTCCCTGAGGGAGTCTTATTGGATGGTTGGGTGGGTTCTCTGGTGTTCTGGAAGTCCAAGCACTTAGTGACAGCGTGTTCCTGGGATCAAAGGGCTACGAACAGAGGCGTTTCTGTTAATAAAGTTAATAACCTGCTTTCAGACAGACTTGTAGTTTTCAGAATTTACGAACGGTAACAGACTTGCTTGAAAGAACTTCACAAACCACTATGT